GATTGATGAGTTTGGCTATAAAAATAATAACAAAAAAAATGAGCAAAATTGACAGTTTTATGCGAGCTCATGAAAAAACTCTTGATAAACGTAGAAATCATTTATTGATGATGATTTTGGCTATATCCATGATTAAAAAAAAAGGCAAAATTAACGGCTTTTCGCAGTCTGATGAAAGAGATCTTTGATAATCGTAAAAATCATTTGATGATTGAAGAGTTTAGCTATAACCATTTTAACAAAAAAAAGAGCAAAATTTACGATATTTGACAGTCTGATGAAAGAGCTCTCGATAAACGTAAAAATTATTGGCTGATTGAAGAGTTTTACAATAACCATTATAAATGTAAATTAGCAAACTCAAAAGTTTTCTGCAGCCTAACAAAAGAGCTATTGATTAACTTAGAAGTTTGCCGTTTGATGGTTTGGCTATAGCCATAAAAAAAAAATTGGAGCAAAATTGACGGTTTTCTACTGTCTAATGTAAGAGGTTTTGGTAAACGTATAAATTATTTGCTGATTGATGAGTTTGGTTATAACAATGATAACAATAAAAGAGAGCAAAATAGACAGTTTTCTACAGCCTTATGAAAGAGTTAATGATAAATTTAGAAATCATTTGCCGATTGATGAGTTTGACTATAACAATGATAACAAAATAAGAGAACAAAATTGACGGTTTCTTTCAGCCTCATGAAGAAATGTTGATAAGCATAAAAATTATTTTCCGATATATGTGTTTGGCTATAATCATGATTAAAAAGAACAAGATGAGCAAAATTTACGGTTTTCTTCATCTTCATGAAAAAGCTCTTGATAAACGTAGAAATTGTTTGTTGATTGATGTGTTTAGCTATAACATTGATAACCAAAAAAACAAGAGAAAAATAACGATTTTTTATGTCTTGATGAAAGAGCTTTCAATAAATGTAGAAATAATTTGCTGATTGATGACTTTTGCTATAACCATGATAACAAAAAAAAGATAGCAAAATAGATGTTTTTTCAAAGTAATGAAAGAGCTCTTGGTAAACATAATAATTATTTGTTCATTGATGAGTTTGGCTATAACCATAATAAAAAAAACAAGAGAGACAAAATTGACGACTTTCTGTAGTCGATGAAAGAGATCTTGATAAACGTAGATATCATTTGTTGATTGATGAGTTTGGTTACAACAATGATAAAGGAAAAAATGAGCAAAA